TGCCGCATCTGTTGCTGCTGAGCCATGGTGTGCTGTAGTTGCTGAAGAGTTTGAGGATTCACGTTTGGGGATTGCTGAGCAGCATGCCGTGGGTATTGGTTATGGTTCGGCGGTTGATGATGCTGATTGGTGCTCAAGTTGGACAAATTGGGTATCGTGGATATTTGCGATTGTACACCTGGTTGTTGGGCGTTCAATACCGCTTGCCTGTACATCAACGCACTTCGACCGCCGACAGGTTGTCGGTCGTAATCAGGACATTCTGCACTGTTGTTCTCAGGCCTGTACTTCTCTGGATTCATTAACGATCGCGGGGATTGTTGCATATGCTCCGATGCTTGAAGATTCGCCACGTTCTGGCTCGGGTTGCGGTACATCGATTGAGGATTTTTTTGCGGGGATTGTTCACGCTGCCCGTGAGGCACGCAAGGTCGATGCGCCTGATTGATCGGGACTTGTTGGTGTAGAGTGGATTCGGAGTTCGGATTCATTTGACCGACCTGATGTATCGAGTGATGAGGAGCAACCTGTTGCTGACTGACGGTGTGCATGTTCTGCAAGATGATTGATACATATGTATAGATTAATCTACCTGTGTGGTTGTTAGTTTCGAATCGATCTTTACAGAATCTCTGTAACTCAGTTGGGCTGGCCACGATGACATTCATCGATGCTTAACCCTTTCGCCTATGATTTAAGTGCCGACGAGACGTGCCACAATAAACGCCTCGGCGGTTACGCGTCGAGCCATTTGACGCTTTGGAAGTGCGTTCGAAGTTGTGCTAATCGCACACGTCTTCTGATATGTAAATACATGTGTAAGGTACAACTGGTTTAATTTTTTGCAGGATGTTAGACAAGTCATTACGAACGATTCATCGGTGAACAAGAAGATCAATCATCTTGAAATTCTCATGTTTGGCCCGATAGACGTACCACAGCTCTCACACGATATTGTAGGCGAAAGGGTTAAATATATTCGGATCAATTTACCTGGTGCTGTTGATGCGACAATTCGGACTGCAACGTTGTCGTGTCACCCTGTCCACAATTCTGATCGGAGGATCCAGCGACGTACATGATGCCTCTCTCTTGGGGGTTCTGCTGCACGATGATAGCACCGATTGGATCGGGCGTGAACGGCGGTGCGCTCTCGATCCGTTTCATTTTCTCGACTGGAAAGTATTTCAATCTGGGCGAGGAGAACGACGCGAACTCTTTGCAACGATCATGAGAATTGAATCTGGTCTTCGGCATCGACGTCTCGACAACATTGTTCGGCGCCTGTTTCTGCTCTCCGCGTGGGAGATTCTGCGTGGACGGTGATCTTTCTGGTCTCGTCGTTCTCTGCTTCATCGTGTTCGTTTTTCCGTTTAAGCTGTTCGTACTTGGACGGCCGATCGGAGCTTTCGGTCTGGCATTGCTGTCCGTCGTGACTTTTCTGAAATTTAATCGGTGAATAGCGACGATTCACGGTCTGTATCGAATGTTAGGCTATCGTCGTGTGGCTTGCCTTTTGTTCATAATCGTTTGGAATTTTGTCGGGAATTCTGGTTCCGTTCAGAAACGCATCGTCCAAAATGAATCGTGGTATTCTTCTAGCTTCGGATTTTGCGAGAAATCCGAATAGGAAATTCTGATTAGCCGAGGTACACTGGAGTTTTAAAAGACGCGAACGAAATGTTGACGAGACAACGTGTGCCGGGTTGCCATGGGCACCGTCTTGGGACGCGTTCTCGACGCGGATTTCTATGCTGCTTTCCGCTCGGGAACGTTCTGCTAACTTCGTTGTCGTGTTAAACTGTTGGCGGATTAAGCGTACTTGTATAAAGTACCCTGTAGAACCCATAGACGTATAATAATAATAAAAAAAATAGAAATCAACACTTTACTGACCGGTAGCCTATTAATAGACTTTCAAATTTCAGTGCTTATAGTATTTATCCTTAGATCAGCATTAAAGAAGAAACTGTTTTGTTATTCTATTAAAGATCTTGCTATTTAATATAAAAATTTGAGTTACTTATCATTCTTAAAATCATATTAAATAATTTTATTTAATATACGTCTATCGTAGAACCACCCCTCGAGTACCCAATTTTGAAAGATTGCAATTTGAATTTCCCTGCGAGCCTGAAATTACGAAGAGTTTAAATATCATTTAGCGAATACTTGGATCGTTGAAGGTGAAACAACGACGGATAGAATTGTACTATTTTTATTCAGTATCGTTTTACAAAATAACACACCTCTGTGTGTTCTCAGATGTACAATGTAATATTGTGTTTCTCGTTTTAAACTTGCTAGATTTCACGTTTCAAATGGATTTTCTCGCCGAGCAAACCGCAGAGTTGCATTCCGGAGTTTCGAACGCGATACGGCCGGATCAGTCATTCCGTTGCCGCAATCGTACCAAAATCTTGACAACGTGACTTGATTCATAAAAAAAATCACAGTAAAAAAATGAATGGTACCTGCTTTCTATTGCGTGCAACACGTTTAAATGCTGAGACCTATCGTAAACCGCGTTCGGTTGATCGTTACCGGTATAATCGTAGCGTTTGCTCGGGTACTTTTCTTATCGCATACTTTAGTTCATTTAAATAGTTATCCAGGTTCTACTGCCACCTAGGATCCTCGTTACTTCTCAATTTGCTAGAATACGTATTCTTAGGGGGCCAGAATATGTGTCGTAGCAACATAAAGTCGAGCAGAGGCATCCGTTTGGATGGAGAATTCAATGAAATTGATTGTACCAGAAAATCATGATTTCGCATTAAGAAAGGTACGTCCTTGTCAATGAAATATCGACGAAACATAAGCTGATCACGAGGAAACACATATCTGTCTAATAAGAATTTTAGTCGCTTCAGGTTTTGGACGCAACTCGAGATTCATTTTTCGTCACATTTGGGAAGAATCATCCGGGTATACTCTCTAAATTGGTTACCGTTCTTCATATTTTGGATAGTCCATAATAGTTTTAAGTTCTTGTTTAAAACAAAATTTGTCACTCTAATAGGTATGTCAAAAATTCGTAGATAGGACGCTTTCAATTTAAGTCAAATCCAGTGTAAAGACCGATCGGGTTATTTTCGTCGTAAGTTCGATAAAAGTCGAAATTCAGGAAATCCTATAATTGGGGATAATTCAGTCGAGTCGTGACTCGAGCCGAGTAATCATCGAAGTACTTCGGTTTTCGTTCATGTCCATGGAAGTTCTTTATTAGATTCTAAAAATAAGAAAGATTTCATTAACGACGAGCTGATTTCGGTCGCACAGAATTCCCGCGATTTACCTTTATTTTGACGAAGATAGACGACGCATCCAGCCGTCGTTCTCGTTGGATCCAGCGTAATTCGCCTCGAAACTGGTAAACAAATAACTATTTCTCCATGTTTAATTTGCGCTAGCAATGCGGGCGGGACACTATACGGATAAATTGTAAGGGTGAAATTGTTAGAGGACGATCGCGATATTTATACATCGGTGGAAATTTCTATGGTGGAAATGTCTATGACGAAACTAACTGCAAATTGGTCTACATGGCGAGCAAGGCGGAGGAGTGGGCGGTGGACAGGGCATACAGGGAACCAGTTTCTTGGTACAAACGTATGTAACACACGGAGGCGGTGGAGGACACGGGGGCGGGGGTGGATGACAGGTCACGACTACCTTTGGCGGGCAAGGAAGCGGGCAACACGGTGGACAGGGCGGACAAGGCCGTAGGTAAACCTAATTTTGGACGGTTGATTAAGTTATTCGTAATCGCATGACTGTGGAGGTTTAATAAATTTACGTGATAATTGCATCGTCTCGAAGATTTAAGATCGTATTCTTGACAGCTTTTCATCGGAAAGTAACAATTCGTTTACGCATGATTGATTTGAAAATTTCATTTTAGGGTAAATGTCCCAATTACTGCCAGTGACTGGCATTCTATTTATTGTATTTAATAAAAATGTAACGTATAAAGTATTGGGTTTGGAAAATTTTATGATTAAATTGGGATTTTTATGTACCTAAAAAGAAAGAAATACATGCACTTGTAATTGAGACATTTACCCCATGCGATCGCGGTTTGATAAAAACTATCAAAACTTTAGTGAACTTTAGAAGATTTTGGACAATGTCACCGAAAATGGATTTTGTAGATTATGATAGTTGAGTTTTCCCAATTGAAACTCACTGCTGTTTTAGTCGGTCTAGGAGGACATCGTGGTGGGCATGATGGCCGGCAAACGATGCAGGGTGGGCACGGTGGTGGTGCACATGACGGTGGTGAACAACATGGAGATGGGGTACAACACGTTGATCGAGGACAATCAGGCACGCTTCCGCAGCATCTATTACAGAAGAAACCAGCGATTATTTCTAGCTAAGAAAATTATGGTTCTTCGTTCAGTGTATAGTAGAATAAGACCGTTTCGTCATAGGGAGGTTCAAAATGGTTCTGATTTCATTGAAAATTCTGATTTATAAAGATTTAGCGGATCTAGCTGGAGATATGAAATAAATTCACCTGTACATCACGGCGTTAACGGGGCACTGCTGCGGCAAGAGGAATTATGTCGACATATTTCCAGCGAATTCCCATAAACCCATGATCTGTCATCAAACCCCCAACGATGGATGAGCCCCTATCCAACGAGATACGACGGCATCGGTGTGCATTGAGGTAATTGGCGGCCGCTTGAAATTTCGCTGGCGATGGTCGAGAAACTGGTCTAATGCATTGAAAATTTCATTTTTGTTTCATTCGTCGCCCAGGCAACACGACATTCCTCTATTCGAACGATCGTTACGATGATCGACAGGGCAGGCGTTGAAACTTGGCCTGGTGAATACCATTGCAAATATTTGCAAACGTGTTTCGATATTATTTTACCAGTAGGTGGCACTAAGAGGAATTATTTATTCGCTTTCAGATATCAATTTCTTATACTTACTAATATCATTAATAGCATTTTGTATACAAAATGGTAAGAAATAACTGGGTACCATTCGCGATGTTTCTTGAAACAATCGCTTCGTTTATTTATCAAAATTCGTACAAATCATCGTATGTTTTTCTTTAATCGGTTGCAATTTATGGACTGTTTTCCATGCGCGTAGTAAATTGTGGCCCCGAAGCGTTGGATAAACATTGCCGTACTTCATGGGTTTCTCCTTCTCCGTGACGGAAAAGGGAATACTTGTTTATATCATGTCACGCAAAATCCAGGACCGTTCGCCGGCTGGGCTGGAATTCCGCGTCTGTTCATACGACAGGCATGTTCCTCCAGGCGTTGGGCTGCTCTGTTCTCGTCCTGTTTGTTGTTGCTCCAAAGACGTTCTGCAGTCGCGCTAGCACGTGGCCATATTCGGGGATGCACGTTGTTTCTGTAAAAATATAAAAGTAGGGATATATACACGCTGGAAGGGCGAGGATTCGAGAGTTAACGTAGTGATTAGCCAAACTGTGTCAGTCGAATTGAAGTTCGTTAATAAACGATAAAAATAATGGTGGTATGATACTATAAAGATAATAATAATAATTTTTAACAACGTGTATATGTATCTTTTTTTTTACTGTAGTCTCTGTGTGCGTGCAATCTATCATACGCTGATAATTAGCACAGATTATGTTGATTTTAATTGACCTGAATGTGAGTACGCTAGTTAAAAATTTGTGTATTTCAATGAATTGTCGCTCGCTATTTGAATGTCTAAACATTTGTCTATTGTGGGACGTTTTTTTGACGAATTTTGAGTCACTTTTCCTGCGTCAGAAAACAAAGTAAAACTAAAACCCTCTCTTTCCCAGATTCACCATATGTCACTGTGGGTTAAAAATGCATCAACTTTTATTAGCAATTTCTGGTAAATCGATTTCACATTTTACACAAGGGTTTCTTGTATTCCGAATTAGTTTTGCTCGATATTTGTGGTTTATCTAAGAACTACCTTAAAGAAATATAAAGGATGATTTTACCTGTCCACGAACTCTCCCCACATACAAGCCTCCCCGCCGAGCATCAGACCGGTTGCGTTCGAGGCGCCGTTGAAACCGAGGGGATCGCATTTGTAGAACTTTTTCCAATCGCCACCGCCGGCGATGTGATCCAGATACCAGCAAGCGGACAGCAATACAGGATGCCCAGCCTTGGTTGCGTTCTCGAGCTCCTTCGCCCAGACACCTGTCCACACGTGCACCACCGTGTTGCTCGGCATCACGACACCGTTGTCGAAGACCTGCAGACTCAACGTCGAATGTGTTAGCATAAATAATAATAATTTATTTCTACGGGACAAAAGCTCATTGAATTACAAAAACATTACACAAGTGACAGATCTATAAAAATACATGTGTATACGAATAATTAGCTTACAATTTGGTGTATTCTACTTCCAGATAGAGTTTAGTTTTGAATATGTTTGCATTCGGTTTAAAACAATCAACTAGGTTGCTGTAATTGTTCACTTGCTTGCAAATTCTGTTTATTCGGTCGCTATTGTTAAATCCGGATGTATATGCTGAAGGTCCGAAAAGTGGGCTAGCTCTAACTAGTCGAGCAGGAGTATTGAAATTTGTTAGAGGTGTGATTTTTGCAGTGAAATTCTAAACTGTTCCTTGAAACACCTGGCTAAAAATGTTGTTGTCGGCGTGGTAACTCGGATTATCGTAGACTGCCGTCCATAAGTAAATATTAAGACACCTGGTCTGTATAAAGAAAAAATGGTGTTTCATAAAAATGATCTTTCCGATTACATTTCGATCCTTTTTTATTACTTTATAGTAGCATAAGCGTCGATCTTTGTATCCCCTAAACCTGAACAATAATTTCTTCAGACCTTCAACAATTTCCTGACGCTTAATTACATTCACTTTATATTCGATTGGTGTCCTAATACTTACGAACGGCAGTGTATGTACTTGGTGGTGGAGGAGAAAAAAAAATATTACTCACCTCTTGCCAGACGATGGCATTCGCTTGCAGGGAATTGGTGATCTGAAGTAGCTTCGCTATGTACTCTCCCTCGAGTAACGCGAAATTCCTAGACATGTTGTGCGTGTTCATGTACGCGTTCACATCGGGATTGCTCCTCCAACAACCGAACGGAACCTCGTCGCCGCCCAGGTGAACGTATTGATCAGGGAACACCTGGACGATCTCGGAGAACAGATTCCGTAGGAACTCGTACAGGTGTGGATTCGTGGGATTCATGGGGCCCAGTTTGCCGCTGAGTTTACCTTGTGGGTCTGACACGAAACATGGATTGTTCGTTTAATCGAGTGATGACAGTTTTGTTGTGTCTTTCCACCGACAATGGGGGGGGGGTATATTTAACCTAATTTAATTTAATTTGTACGGGTGAAAACCCTTTTTACAATATGTGATTAAAACACACTAATACAACAAATCATCGAATGGAGTTTAGGTGAGATATAACAATAACAAGAATGTGAATATTTACCATAACAAGGGGTCAACAACTCCGGATAAGCCAAACCCCACGATCTGGTGTGTCCAGGGGTATCGAATTCCGGCATCACACGGATACCCCTAAGCCTCGCGTACTCAACGATATGCTGGATGTCGTTCAGGGTGTAAATCATCGTCGGATGATACGCTCCCTTGGCGGACAGTTCCGGGTATCTGGAGCTCTGATAGGGGAAACTGTTATCGTCGACGATGTGCCAGTGAAGAACGTTCATTTTGTTATAGGACATTGCGTCCAGCGTCAGCAGTATATCAGGGATGGGCAGGTAATGGCGGGACGTGTCCAGAAGTAGCCCACGATGGGGCAATTTCGGTCGATCGACGATAGTCTGACACCTAAGCTTCAGCTGTGGGCACGTCGATATAAATCATGGAATATTATTCGTTATCGAGGGAAGATTCGTTTAGTGGTGTATCGGTGACTCACGTTAGGACCATCGCCGGCTGGGAATAAGAGCTGCGAGAAGGTCTCCAAGCCTCGTAGAACACCCCATACCGATTCCGCCACGAGATTAGCGACCGTGGACGTTTCGTTGATGCTTAGAGTATCTGTGAAAATAGATTTAAACCTGAAACCTCTATCAACAGTGTTTCCACACCGAAATTCTTCCCATGTACAGACTCCTCTTGATTATTGTCCCGAATTCGGGTCAGCGCTGGGACAATAATCTTGTAGGGGGAAATGCTTCAGATCCTCGTAAATTCGTTTTTTGACTATAGCTCGAGCCTCGGCAACAAAGTATGCGCTTGAAAGGGTTCCACCCCCTCCCCCAGTGATGGGGATAACGCCTGGACAATAATCGTGTAGAACAAGCCAGACGATAATCGAGAGAAGTCTGTAATCTCGAAATTCCGTGAAACAAGATGTGTTGTTAGGATGATGAACGTGAGACGGAATTAGTGACGTTTAAGTTTAAATCGATTGGACCATGAGTAGAATTAGAAGAATGTGCGTGAAGATAATCACTTGCTAATCGCTCGGTTCGACCTCAGTTCGTAGCTGAACGCGATAAGGCGAGATGAGACCGAGAGATCCATGCTCTCCGTCGTGGTTTCTGCTCGCCTCTGTTTCAATCGTCCCTGACGGAGCAATCAACGACGCGATTACTTGCATATCATTAAATCCGTGCTGTTCGTGTTTTACGTAGATTCCTCGAATCGACGGAAACCGAGGACACGATTTAAAGAGGAAAAAAATAATCGATGATGACGTTAGTTTCGATTCATTCACGCCGAAACTCTCAGGCGGAACTGGTTATCGCGTGTTTACAAAAGAATGTATGCCTCGGCTGCTGAAACGCCAGATTTCCTACGTTCGGCGGTAAACAGTCGTAGAAACTTACATGATTCTTTCATCTGCAAATGGGGCCAGTGATTCCCGTCCTTTTCGCAGGATTCCCCCAAATGAATGTCCAGAGCGGTGAGCGTGCCTTTGCTGGTGCTGTTTTCCCGTAACGATCTACCGTGTCCTTGCGAAAAGATCTTTGCTATACGTGCTTCCGTCAGAATGATCGCTTTGTATCGTTCGATCGCGTCCACCACTATATCGCAAGTCTCGCCGACTACCTGCACGATAATTTGCATAATGATACGGTATTAAATGAGTAGTAACAGGTGCATCGTACATGTATTTGCATTTATTGTGGCACAATTTGTACGAGAGAATTTAAATACTTGGCAATATTTCAGAGCTGTTTAATGTATCGAGCAACGTCGTCATCCGGTGTAGCATTACAAAGTATATATTTTTTTATTTTCTATTTAATTTTTTTATATATATATATTTAAAACCGTGTAACTTAAAAAGTTTTGTTTATATATATATTTTATACATGCTATCAGCCTCAGTGATGTTCGTGTTCAATGCGTTCATACGAAAGAAGTGGAAAACGAATCCGTAGAAGTGGAGTTCACACGCTTACTCATATAAAACTAGCGCAGTGTATTAGTCTCTCCGCGTGTATGCAGCACGCATACACGCATAAAATGATTTTGTATGCGGTGGGTGATTTCCCTCGTCCGCGTTATCGATAGAAACCCGCTCGCAGGTAAAAGTAAACGTGCACACGATAACACTTATCCCTGTACAGGAGGAAATATTTCCCCGAAACTGCTTGAATACGAAATGAAAATCTATAGATATTAAACATCTATAGAATACCTATAGAAATTAATCAATTTTGACCCCTTCTGCATTCTTCCTTCTAAATGGACTTTCGAACAAATCTCATTATGAATTATCTCTCCTAACGTACGAATTAATACAAACAATTAACTAACTGAAATTTAGTTATGAGAAGCTGTTCAATAGGACGACGTTATTGAAATCTCAAAGTGATCCCTCAGTCGTCCGAGGGTTGAAGGAAGTATCGATATTCGTGTATGAAAAAATTATTCCCGTTTCTAGATGTCACAGTGTTCGAGGAATCGTTTACTCACGTTGAATTGAAACGTGGACGCTCTGAGCAAATAATACGCATTCCCGAGACGTCTGAGATTGGGCAACGGCCATGGTTCACCCTGCGTGGACTGCACCCAGGGACCAGCGTCCGGGTTCAAGGAGCTCGCTGATCGGCAGACGATCGCTACCAGCAAGACCAACGATCCCAGCAGCGTCGTCGTCCTCCTCATGGTCGGTGTTTCTCCAACGAACAGTTGGTCAGGTGTGATCCAGAGCCAGAGAAGCGATGCGATGCCACCGAGTGGTCATCGTCTACTGAACGCCGATGGAACGATGCGTGTACGAGAAGTGGTAACGACCTTAGGCCGCGCCACTTAACTTTCATCACTTCGCCCGTACGGACGGTCTGCTCACGGTCAAGTAGGTACAACCAGTCCACCGTCGGTCCGTCCGTGTCCTTAAGCATTTTTCTCCTTTTCGATCGTGGTCCGATACTGTGGGCATTGGGCTGTCGGCCGTTAAACGAGTCTGTATGCATTATAGTCTTCTGATGGGACGTTGACACGGCTTCGGAATTTTCACTCACTGGTCGACGGAAACACTACTTCTACTCTTGGAACGTTTGGACTCTGTAGGTGGTATCGTCTTCTGCGCTGGAGTTTGGTATTTTTGGAAGAGGATGCAGACCTAAGCGGCGGGTATTTATGGAGCGTTCGCTCTGTTGGATTTCTAGACGCAGTACGGTATAGAATTTTGGGTATAACTCAACAGGGAATTATCGATAAGTGTTCGAGGATACCTCGGTATTGTCAAGGAGAGGTATCTGGATGTAACGCTGATTTTTTAAGGAGGTTTCGCACATTGATAGAGTTTGGAATTTTGAGGCGAATTATATTTGTTTCAGACGCATATAGCTATTAGTTTATGGAATAATTAATGTTTACTAGCCTTCGAACACTCATCGAGGATTTACGGTAGTCATCTCACAGACCTTAAAATTACTAGATAAGTATATTCACCCGTTTCTGTTGCACTCTGTGTATAGATATAATATTTGATAGTTCTGATTGTCTAGCGTTGAATTCGGTTGTTTGTAGATCACAGACACGTAAAAGCGTGCCTCTCTATCGTTAAAAATAACAGTAGCGGGATATCCCTGAATGAAGTAACAGCCGAAAGCGTGCAAGTATTTGCATGGTATTAGAGTTAGAAAGAGAGAGAGCGTTTTCAATGAGACAGGACGCCCGCCGAGTCTAAATTAATTGGAGAACGAAGCTCAGCCGAGCGTGATCCGTTCGCGATATCGTCGGCAATATTGAAGCGGCGCGGGGCAGTCGAGTGCAAAGGTCGACGATCGTTCGAATTTATCGGAAGTGGACGTCGATGGATCGTTACGATTACTCTCGCGACAAGCAAAATATTTTGCTCGCGTGTAATCGTAAACAGATCACGATTATCCGACCTATAAAATTTAATTACAATATTGTTACTATGCAGACGAGTTTATCGATGAAATTTATAAGGGATCGCTCGATAAGAAATAACAGTAGACAAGTTACGATTGTATTGCGATTGTTCCTCCACGCAATAAATCGGTCGTACCACTTTTTTTTTGCAACGTCCATTGTCGTGCGTGTGTCACGTGAACGCGCATAGACGTATTTGCATTCAATGCGAAATTTCCTATTATCCCGCGTATGCATTATTCGTGGGCAGATTGCGTCCGTTTCCGTGGAACCGATTACTCACGAACCCGAACGAATTAGATTCGCTGTTTTACACCTCTCGTGGACTAGTTAAAAAAACCGTGGAATAGTTTAATTTATAGACGATAAAAACTGGCCTCGTAGATGTGGGTATCCTGTTACTGTTGCACGAGACAATGGAAAATCTAGACAGTTGTAATTGTCTCGAGTACCGTCTACGTAATTGCAACGAACGAACCGAGTGTGGAGGTTGAACGAATTATCGTAATTTTCTACTATAGAGTTCAATTAACAACAAGCCAACCCGTCTTCCATCTGTGAAGAGTAAACCTTCTTAAAAGTGAAATACGTCCGTCTGCTCACGCCTAATCCGACGAGAGGAGACTTTTCGTGTTTTTGTTTTGAACAATGCCGCGTAAGCTCATACTATATTTCGAGATACTCGATATTTGACGAATCTTTCGGGATCCCTAAGTCGTCGGGTCAACAGAGTTTTATTAAACGACACTCGGAATTCGAAGTGGCGGGTCCACCCTCGGAGATTAGCTTCGAAGTCACGAAGGAATGAAAAACGTAGAGGGGGGAAAGCTTTCGTAACGTCAGTGTTATCAAAGAAGCCAGGCCGGACGATCGTAAAATACGGGCTTGCGCATTTCCTTCGTCTTCCGCGAACCACCGACAACGATTTCCAACTTTTCGTCCAGCTGGAATGAAAAAAAACGGACATCTGTTAATTCGTCGAGCATACTCGTTGCGATACAAAAATAATAATATCGTGTTTATTTATTCTAGTTAAAGGTACAGAGAATTATGTTACTTAGATTACATTCCAAATAATTTTATCGAAAAGTGTAATAATTTTTTTTTCGACAGATTCGACAAACTTCCGGTTTTACGAGACCGTGGATGGCACGGTACCACGGATTGTTACGGTACTGCTCGGTGAATCGTAGCTTCATTGATTGCGATGTCGTACACCGGGTCGACGGCAGACGTTGTGTTATGTGTAGATAAAAAAGTTTTCTAGGACATAAGATCGTGCACGTGATATATACCCCTATGGAATTCTCACGTATTACGTGTCACTATTATTCAGAATTTATATGATCTAAAATTATGTTGTTGCTCCACTTACAGATACGACAAAATATTCGCAGTTCAACAAAAAATATCCCACTCTGCAGCCGAACAAGAGAGGCTCAAGCGGTGTACGGTCCAAGGGGTGGTGGTCAAGAATTACAATCGAGACGTCCTTCGCCACGGCAATGCTGGCCATAAGATGAATGAAGCGTCTGCTATTCGAGAGAGAGAGAGAGAGAGAGAGAGAGAGAGAGACAGAGAGAGACGGGCAAAAGGGAAAATAGTCAGCCCCTCCGCAAGGTCTATAACGAGGACACTCGTGTCCGTGACAAAAATAGGGGACACACCGGCGGGATGCGATAGGGATTCTTATAAGTGTCCTCCCTCCGTTCCCTCGAACTTCCTGCTGGCCCATAAACAAAAATTCCTCGATTCACAAGCGAACTCTCTCTCCACCCGCCCCTTCTGGGTACGGGTGTTCTTCCGACGGGTTGAACACCCCGCAGAAACTTGTCCCATTAAATTTCAACCCGTAAAGGTGGCCAGAGAAGGGGCGGCAAGAACAGCGTGAAAAAAAGGGGGTCTCTTGTTCAGAAAATCTGGCGATGCTGCGCGTTGTGTCGTAGCATGGATCCGCGCGAGCGTATCTGCGCGAGAGGGAGGGTTTCGTCTGTCACCCCGCTACCCCTCTGCAAGTGGGGGAATTCGTATAGGGGGAAAATGTGGGTTTGGAAGCGAGAAAGAGAGAGAGAGGGAGAGGGGGAGGTTTGAAGCAGAATCGAGCGGCCGGTATCGTGATAGTAGTAGTCGCGGTCGTAACGACGCCGATGACGTCAACGTGAGGGCGCTGCCGTCGCGTGGTCGACTTTAATCGTTGCTAGTAGTAGTAGCCGGTCTGGTGTGGTGAGAGTCGCGTAGTGGCGTGCGTACACGCGGCCGAACGCTCGTGTACACGGAGTGGGACAGGGAGAGCTTTGACAGCGTGTCGGTGGGGTGGTGGTGGTTGGTGGTGGTGGCGGTAGCGGCGAACCGGGAGAGTGAGAAAGTACAGAGAGAGAGATAGAGTGGGAGAGAAAGAACTAGCGAGGAGCCGGCAGCAGCGGCGAAGCGAAAGGGTGTTTCACCTCGGTCTCCTCATATTAGAGTAGTCTGTCGGTGCGCGCGGTTCCCCGTGGTGGCGTGGCTCTCGGACGGTTACGGGGTGGTTGATCGAAACCGGGTTGGTTATCCGGCAGCAGCACGCTGCTTCTCCGAGAGACAAGTGATGTGCGCGTGTGTGTATGTGTGTGTGCGCGCTGCTGCTGTTTCTTTGGACTTGAGTTTGGAAGACGGGACTGCCGGCCGTGTGTGTCACGGGGGTAACAATTGTCGGGTCGAGAACACCGCGTGAGATACACAAGGGAAGAGTATCGAGAGAGGAGAGAAAAGGGGAGAAAAGAAGAGAGCGAGAGAGACACAGAGGGTGCGTAGGTGTGTGCGCGCCGGCGACTGGTGGCGGTACCGGTAGAAAGAGAGAGGGGGAGAAGAAGAGATAGATAGAGAGAGAGAGTGGTGCACGGAAGTGGCGGTGCCAAGTCGTGGTGGATGGTGGATAGTGGAGGTTCGGGCGGTACGGTTGGATCGGTTCCGTCGAAACACGTCGCCGTTGGCTGCATCTCGCCGGGATACACGGGAATTGAAGAAAACGGAACAGCAACGGCGTGCAGAGGTGGCGGCGGCAGCAGCAGTAGCATCGGAGACGAGAGACGCGACGCGACGACGGGATCACAGAGTGAGAGAAGAGACGGAAGTGAGGATGAGATCGATAAGGAGGGAGTCGAGGTGCGGGTTTCGTGAAACGGGAACGCCGCGACGCGCGTAGAGACGCGGCGGATGGTAAACATACCCGTCTCTAAAATATACATAGATATATAACTCGCGTACGCACGCATTCAATCACGCACGGCACGCACGCGCGCGCCGCCGCCGTGTCCGCGACTACTCGTGGCGAGTCGATTCCTCGCGCGGGGGCTCTTCTGTACCACGGTGTACGATCGTCCGTGGACTCACACCCTCGTCCTGAGGTACCGTGAACGGCGGACGAGGGTTGAGAGGAGAGAGAGAGAGAGAAATCGGAGGACGACGAAAGAGGGGAGAAAGACAAGGCCGACGACGGAATACACCGGGTGTATATCAGCAGGGGGTCAGTGGACGGATTCGAGGGAAAACTGGGGGATCGTACTCTCTTTCTCTCTCCCCCTCGATCTCTCGATTCATCTCCGTTCTGGATGGGCATTGCCGGCGAAAGAAGGTCAAAGATCGATCGTCGAGTACGAGGGTCGTGACCTCACGCACACAGAAACAGAAAGAGAGAGAGAGAGAGAGAGAGAGAAACACACACACGCGCGAAACGGAGCCACGCGTGGCGATACATCGCCGAAGATCTTGGTCGAGGAACTGGAAGAACGGAAGAGAGAGGAGGAAGACTGATTCTGTGGGCTGTGGATCGAAAGGTCGATCCACGCGGAACGATGTTCGATCGTCGAACGAAACGGCAGAGCTTCTGTCGATCGACGCGTTAGGCGTTGTCGATGCCAGCCGCTCGCAGACGAACGTTTCCGCGTAGAATAGAGAACGGTGGTTCCCGTCACGTTCGGTGTACGAAATCGGTGGATTCTGGAGGATCGGTCGACTCGACGGGAACTGGGCATCGCAACGAGGGAAGTTGCGATTCGAGTAATCGTCACCTACACGCGTGCTCGATTGTTTTTCACGGGAGAACCGGAAGTGGGTCGCAAAGTAACGGGATGCCATGAGGACGGTTGTTGATCTAAGAACAAAAGTAACAATAAAAGGGGAAGAATCTAAGAACCTAGATCTAGAAATATCATATAAGGTACACCGGGAAATTCGTCCCGATAACTATAGAATCATCATCTTCACAAAACTAGCTCGCTAGAGAAGTATCGAACCAGCAAGAAAAACAAAATCGTACCAATTTTTCCACCGATCCATAGAAGCTCTATTGTCTACACAGACACTGTCCATCGAACCAAAAGAAGAACAAAAAAAAAAAAACCAAGAAGACTGACTGATCAGAGGGCAGAAAGCGAATTTACCCGCGCAGGCGGACAAAAGAACCAGCAGCAAAAACGAACTCACGGAATTGCGTGATATAGATAGGTATAGAGGGGGGGGGGTATAGAGGGAAGAGGGGCGGTAGAATCGCGTGTAACGGTGGTAGGGACATAACCCAGGAAGGATGTCGAGAGACCCGTACGCGAGCGGAAGCGGAGTGGTCGGGCAAGGAGGTGGTACCCGTTCGCCGAGAAGCGGTCGTCGCGTGGGCGAGCTGCCCACAGTCGATCGTAGCCCGTCCCGCAGCTATGCGAGTGGTCGCGGCAGTCCGTTGGGTTGCAAGAGGGGCACACGTAGCGGGAACAACTCGCCGGAGCATCTCGGATACGGTAGCTACCATCACCATCAGCTGGGCAGCCCGTACTACTCCCGCGACGAGGACCTCGGCAGTCCCGTGATGCTCGGGGAGAGGGGCAGGAGTATGTCGACCGGGGGCGGTGGGGGCGGACATCACAGATCCAGAAGCGCCTCGAGACCCGCCATGTCCAACTCGGCGGGCATGTCGGCGAGGTACACCAGCCTGGATCACGCCTCGGCGGGTATACTCGATCACGATCGCGAGTTCGTGCCGATACGGGATTCACGCGAGCGTAGCCGTGACTGCGGTCTGTATCTTGAGGATGAGCTGTACGGCTCTCGGTCCGCCAGACAGAGCCCGAATCCGCACATGCTGTGCGACAGCGGCGGTTACATCGGCGAGCTCCAACACCAGAACAATGATCTGCAACGGGAACTTGGGAATCTCAAGAAAGAGCTCGAGCTGACGAACCAGAAGCTCGGGGTCTCGATACACAGCATTAAGACCTTCTGGAGCCCCGAGCTGAAGAAGGAACGAGCGTTGCGAAAGGAGGAGAGCACCAAGTACAGCCTGATCAACGAGAAGCTGAAGATGCTAGACTCCGAGAACCAGGTCAGTCGACTGCGGATTTACGGTTTTTTTTTTCGGTTTGGGCTGGTTAGTGTTCGCGGTGACAGAAGGATCGTGGCGATTAGACGAAGTAATGATACGATATCTGTTTCTTTTTCGTTTTCATCCCCTGTTCGACACCCTTCTCCCCTGTGCGCGTGTCCCTCCTCGCCGCCCCGTTTCGATGACGTCCGTGCGTGGGAATTTAGGTCGAAGCGATTAGGTCGCGAAATCGTTCCAGAACGAAACCCCTCCTTCGTGGGTCGTGTCGATATCTTTCACGAATTTCGTAACATCGGTGGAATGATTTTCAGGTTTTTTCATACATATTGATTTTCGACTGGTTATCGAATCCCCGTCGTCTGTCGTTTCGTTCCGAAAGAATTTCCCTGGATTCCCGCGTCATCGGGGTCGGAGTATCGATCTACTTTACGTGTGTGGTCTTCTTCGGGGGTCTCTCTGGTTTTTCTTTCGACGTATTTCTACCCCCGACGTACTTCGTAATAGTCGTGTCCCCCTTATCGATTGACCAAAAATTCAGCACGAAGGGGGAGCCACCGACAGACCACGATTCGATGAATAATCATCTTTGTCGCGTGATTATCGGTGAAAAGGGGGCCGAATTATACGCATGGGGGAGCTCAATCAACGATCGAGCGCGGTAAACGACGGTTAATATTCAATTACTCTTCTCTCGTGGACAGTGGGCGAAGAACCGTCTAGTCTTCGTTGCCAGTGAAACAATTCAAACTGTTCACGACAATCGCAACAAGTTTTATTTGAGTTTCGGAGAATCTTCGGCGTTCCCTTGAACAAGGAGAACTGGTGTACGCATTGCCTCCCTCCCCCCTACCCCCGAGGAAGTCGGGATGGATCAATATGTAAGCTGTTCGCGAAGCCCGTCGCATATTTATGTAATGTCGCGGGGGGGTTGCGACCAAGTCGCACGCGTCTTTCGTGTAACTTTGCGTGTCTTACGCATGCGATCGATGGTGTCCCGATGATACGCAATATTTCTTTCTTTTTGTTACTCTCTGCTTGATGCGAGCGCTACTTGGGTTTCATTCGATCACGATCACGTGTCCGCGCGACGAATAACGAGACTCGTTAAGTACCAACACGAACCTGGTTCTGAAGCAACGGAAAACTTTTTCACCCTGAACAACAGCAACATCGAGCGCATACGGGTTAGGGGAGACCAGGGATAAACGTAATGATTTGTCTTCTTGAGTCTTTAACTGGTCAATTTTTTGGAACTATCTTAAAATTCGTACACTATGACAAACCTTGATTATTGGGCAACATAATGAAACCTAAAAACTTGGAATATATGTTACAACAGTTTTTTTTCAAATGATTCGTTTGTTATTTTTGTCTCTAGATAATTTAAAGATAGCATAAATTTACTTTTTGGTATATTATTTTAACAGGATAGTCGTGTTAGGAAAATAAGATGGAGGGCTGGTGGAATTGGTGTATAAAGATAGAAGTATACGATTGTTGGTCGATGGCATTCGTTTTATAACAGTTGTTACATTCGCCCAGAATTGAACGTTTCAGGATGATTTTATAATAAACCCACGGAGTGTAAAATTATTCTATAAAAGTACAGTGTCATTACATGCGTTTATATTGTACAAATGGAAATCCAATATATCGGCTGTAATGTTACTAAAAAAGTCAAGCTAACAGAACGTATTGTATACATATAAACACTTGTATTGTATGAATTTACATACCCAGAAGGTATGGAAAACCATTTTTCCGCAACGCATTCCATCGGACGATTGCTCTGCCTCTTTAATTAAATTCTCCGTCGATTGGAGGGACTCTATTAACCGTCACGGCGCACACATACACGCCATCCGTCACTGTTTTGCCAGCCACAGAGATCGTCAGCGTCTCTGGTGCTCTCTGTCTCTGTGGCATATTTTTGGCCGCGATGGCGGACAGTGCCGTGAGTCATTGCCACCGATAGTGGAAGAATCTCTCTCTCTTGGGTCGAGTCGGATTCCCTGGCGGTCTGCCCACGTTTGTTCCTTTTTATCTGCCGTCTGGCTCTCGTTCCTCCACCCGGAGAAAGAGAGGCACGTCTACCTACGAGGGTTTTCTTACGTGGCAACGACACGTGCGCGTCGCTTTGCTGTCCGGATCACGAGCAGATTCGTCCGACGCAGCATTTGTTCCGCGATTCCGTTGCGTGGGTATCCAAAACGGACACCCGACGATCGACCGTGAAATTGCATAATTTCTGGACCGTTCACAACCACCACCACGAGCAGACACACACACGTTTCCGACCATGGAGATGATCAAAGATTAGGGGGGAGGCGCGGAACGTTCAACCAGGACATGAACATGGCGTTTACGAGCTAACGAGACGAGAGAGGGGACGAGGGCAGTTAATTAGGGTGGTTTAGATAGTGCCGAGCTGGTAATTTATCGGACGGGGTGGAATGGCACTTTAAGTCTCGGCGAAACTCCTCCGCGGAAACGTCGTCGGAGTTTCGCAGGATCGTGAAATCTGTGCGAATAATTTTATTTAATTTATTACTATTAACGTGTAGATCCTTGCTATACAAAAGTTTAACAATATCATCGCATGACACTACCTAGATGCTACACTACCTAATTACTTCTCCTCTGCGATTCGCCAGATTACATTTCCATAAAAGAGAAACGAACTTTCCTCGATGGAAGTTTCTGGGAATGGATTGTTCGTTCAGGGACAGTGTAAACGCGTACAAGGGGGAGGGGAGAATCGTCTCTCCGTTCTTCATCTCGCTTGGTGGATCCAAAGGATCGATCAACTATCGCGTTGTTGGCGAACTCGTGGCCCATCCTCTCCCATTTCTCGGTTACCATCGGAGACTTCGTAATGGAACGCGCAAAAAACGCATTAAACGGGTGGAGACCGAGCTGGGAGGGTGGAATTAATTTTCCCTCTCTGTCGGGTCACGTACACACACATATACACACTCACACAAACAGACGGCTCTCCCTTGGAATTGGCGTGTTTTCGAAGTGGGTCGTAAAAAAAAATACCGCTGTGCTCTCTCGCAGTGTTATCGTTCTCGCGATACTACCTTGCCACCCCCGATTTCGCTCTTTTCCTCGTTCGCGCGACACCCGAAAAACCAGAATAGCGTAAAGCTCGGAAATTATATACTCCACAACCACCCCCCTGGATCGTTGTGTTCCTTTGCTAACGAGGATTTTGCACGTTTTTTTTGCTCCTTATTTTTCGGACGTTTCGTTGGGTTTCTCCGCGTGAATTTGACTCGTCCAATCTACGACGAGTGGTCATGAACGCAGTGTGGGAATGTCGGTCGACGATGTCGACGGAGAATGCTAGCTATTAAACATTCCGTTTGGATGCGTTTGTTTGTGCTAGTTTTCGATTTGTTCGGACCAGTAACGTGGAATGGCCACTGTTCTGGATTTAATTGCTCACTTGACATGGTTGAATTAAAAATTAGTCGTAAGCTCACGATTACGAAGATTATAGGGTACGCTTGTTTCGCGGTCTAAGAAGCAACACACTTTATTTCTGTTTGAAAGTGATGATTGGAATTTGGAGTTGCTGAACAGTTAAACCTTCCAGAACAAAAATTTGCATTTGCTGTTTAAAGTAAAATTTAGGTGAAACAAAAAATATATTCATAATTTTAACGGATTTTCGAATATTTTAGGACAAAAAAAGAAAACATACAAACGGTTAATTACAGGCATGTCTTCTTTCATAATTCTTCTTAGTATGATATATGTTTCAAGACTGGCCTGAAATTATGATCTGAAATTCAATCACTGATCACACCTGGTCCGTATCCCATTATCAATTCATCTTTCGATAGGAAGGCGACTCCATTACTCTGCTAGAAATTTGATTGCCCTCAAAACATCGTTGCACGCGCGTATTTTAGGATTCTAGGTGCATGGATATTCCAGCACACTGAACATCTCTGTGTACGTTTTAAGATTCCCATCACAACGTCATTGAAAAGTATTTATGAACGAAACGATTCACGAATATATATTTTTGAGCGTGATAAACTACGTAGAAAATATTGACCGTGAGATTCTCTTCGTAACTTAACAGTCGTTGAAGTGGGGTCTTTAATATAGTTGGAGTTCGCATACACACGCAGCTTCAATTCATCCGAACTGCAGCTGCCATTCAGTGCTGTGTCTAGCTGAACGGGGAGCCCATGGCTCGAAAATTCTCCGTATACTCTGTTGGATGATCAAGCTATTTACTCTGATTCATTCTATGATTAGAGATGGGATAAAGTATAGTCCAAATAGGGTCGAATCTAGCTGGAATAGTTTCGAACGTTTCATAAATATTTCGCAAAAAGCAAGCACTTAAGTAGACTCGAATCCAGACCGAGTAGATTCGAACCTTTTAAGGAGTACTTCGATTAAAAGTTTCCTATTCTTTGCAGTTGTGTACAGTTTAGCGAAAATTATATATAAATGGTCCAACATAAATTTATTGCAATTGAAACTATCGTTTTTTAATTTTTCGATTCAAGGGTTAAATTACCATTTATTGCGAGGTCTTTGTTTCAACGAAGTTCATCCAGCGAATCGTGAAATCGACGAAAGGGAGGAACCCCCGAGTCAAGGTCCCCATCGAGCTATTGCATTACGAATACGTCGTAGGAATGTCTCTGCGACGCGTTCCCACAAACTAGCAACTTATTGTGTTCCGTTTTCCGTTCCCCCCGTGCGTCTGGGTCTCTTCAGATTCTTTTCAATCTCACGAAACGAGTCTGGCCCCGTCCTCTCGGCGGTGCTTCCCGTTTTTACTCCACCGATATCTTGCCTTCTTCGTCTCTCCTCGGAAGTACTCCAGCCGTCTGGTTTTCGCCTCGTCTTCTTCCATCCTCCTCCAACCCCCTCCCTGCATACATTAAAGAGCTCGACCGAGGCGTCGCGAGTCCTGTTTGTCAGGAAAAATGAATCCTGAATGTCCTCGTTAGCCCACCATTTTGCATGCT